TCGGACACGAATTGCCCAAGGCTGCATGCAAGCTACAGCCCTCAAATGGAGCACAATGCTTCATTTCCTGAACCCTTCCACGAGACAGAGCCTGGTGTTCTCGGCTTTGCTGCTCGCGGGAAGTACGCTTATGACGATGGAGTCTTCGTCGGTGAGAAAGCGGCCTTCAGGGCATGTGTGGACTCTTTCTTGCTTGATCATGCCTTCCGGCAAAGCAAGACAGTGAAAGTTCAAGTCGCTTGGGATGTGAGCGATTACCAGATTGATGTAGGCACGCCGGCCGGGGTCGACGAGTACAAGCGGATAGTAGATCAGAACGCACGTCTCGGAATCGAATACATCGTTTATGAGCCGCAGAATTCGCTTCACTCGTCCAGGTTCAACACTACCGATGGGTGGGGTTGGGAAATGTCGCTATGGTTTTCACTAGGCGAGCAACTCAGGGAAGGCCGATGGAATGTGCATCGCGATTCAGTCCCACACGACATCTTGGACATGGTATCATACGCAAGGGGCAAAGGAGTTAAATTGCTTGCTTATGTATATCCTTGTCTTGCTTTCCAGGAAGTGAAGCAATATGAGTTTGGTGGATATCGAAGACGCCTACGGTGAACCACCGCCGCCCCCTGCCTTTGGAAACGCCCATGTGGCCAAACATCGAGCCAAAGTCTGGCCAAGCTATTGGGTCATGTGTTTCCCCAGCCGTTGTGGAACACCTTTGGGGAGCACCTTGAAGAGAAAGAGAAAGCAGGATGAGAGGGAGAAAGAGTAAGAGGAGGATGATGATGATGAGGAGGAGGAGGAGGAGGAGGAGGAGGAGGACGAGGAGGAGGAGGAGGAGGAGGTGGAGGAGGAGGAGGATGGATGAGGAAGAGGAGGAGGAGGATGCTGTCCAGGAGAAAGAGGCCTCTTGAAGTCGTCTTCTGGCGTCCTGCTGGCTTCCTGGGAGCCTCCTGGGGGCCTCTGCAAGGGGCCGCTCAGGTGCCTCCTGGGGCTTCTTGGGGGCCTCTCAAAACCCCTACAAAGGAGCTTCCTCACGAATGTTTCAAGCTGGTTTCCTTTCACAATCTTCCACAAGCCTTCCTCAGAAAAGGTATTTGGAACGATTTGGGAGGATTCCTTCCAAAGATCTTCCTCAGCAAGGTTTCAAGAAGGTATCCTTTTAAACTCCTTCCAACAACCTTAGGAAGGATTTTGGGAGGTTTTTGGAGGGTTCCCTTTGAACGCCTGCCAACAAGCTTCTCCAGCTATGTTTATGTTTGAATGGTTTTCGGAGGATTCCTTAGAAAAACCTACCAAACACCATCTTCAGGAAGGTTTCAGAAGGGTTTCCTCTCAAAAACTTGCAAGCACCTTCCTCAGGTTTTTGTTTGAATGTTTGTGGAGGGTTTTCCAACACCTTCCTCCGGAAGGTTTCTTGTTGGAAGGTTTTCGCAGGATTCCTTTGTAGAATCTTCAAGGCAAACCTGCCTCAGGAAGGTTTCAGGGGAGTTCCCTTTCAAACACTTCCCAACAACTGTTCTCAGGGAGATTTCTGGTAGTTTTTTGGAGGATTCCTTTTAGAAAGCTTCCAACAATCTTCCTCAGGAAGGTTCCCAAGTGGTTCCTAGTAAACACCTTTGAGCAATCTCCCTCTGGAAAGTTTTGTGAGGGTTTCTTTTTACAACCGCCCTCCAAAAAACCTTCCTCAGGAAGGTGTCTGGAGGATTCCTTTGAAACGCCTTTCAACAAATCTTGTTCATGAGGGGTTCCTCCTAACAACCTTCCAAAAACTTTCCTCAGGAAGGGTTTTTGGAAGGTTTTTGGAATCTTCTCTTTTTAAGAACCTTTCAAACACCTTTCTCGGGAATGTTTCATGAGGGCTTCCTTTCAAAACACCTTCAAGAAACGTCCTGAGTAAGGTTTTCGGAAGGTTTTTGAAGGATGCCTAAATATCTTTCAACAACCATGGATTTTTCCTCCTGAAAACCTTTTAATCACCTTCCCCAGGAAGGTTTTTGGAACGTTTGTTGAGGTTTCCTCATGCGACCTTTCAGACACCTTCCTCAGAAAGGTTTTTGGTCGGAAGTTTGTTTTGACGTTTTCTTGTTTGTTTGTTTGTTTGTTTGAAGATGTTGGAAGGTCCTTGGAAGTTTTCTGACAGTTTTGAAAGTTTTTGTTGGAAGGTTTGTTGGACGTCTGTTAGAAGTCTTCTCGGAAGGTTTGTTGCAAGGTTATTGGAATGTGTTGGGCAACCGCGCTTATTATTGGACGGTTTTTCGAAGGCTCTTGGCAGGTTTTCGGAAGGTTTTTGGAAGCTTTTTGGAAGGTTTGTAGAACAACCTTTCCAAACCTTCCTCGCCTTCCCTCCCACCCCCGAGACCGTAAAAACCTTCCCAGAACCTTCCAAACATCTTTCTCAGGAAGACTCCAGCAGGGGTTCCGCGAACCGCCGCACCGGACTCCAGCTGAGACCTCTCGGGCCTTCGGGGGGCTGCGGACTGTCATTTGTCGCCTCTGACGTGTGTGTCTGGGAGGTCCAGTGGAGTGAAGGTCCACGTGCGCCCAGCTGAGGCCTCTCGGGCCCGTGGGGGGCCGCGAAGTGCGACACTGTCGCCACTTTCGTGGGCTCGTGGGAGGTCCAGCGGAGTGGAGGTCCACGCGCACCCAGCTGAGACTTCGCTGCTCACGGGGCAGCTGCAAACTGTGCAATTGTCGTCGCCTTCGTGGGCTCCTGGGAGGTCCAGCGGAGTGGAGGTCCACGCGCACCCAGCTGAGACCTCGCGCGCCCTTGGGGAGCTGCGACTTGCGCACCTGGCCTCCATGTCGTGGGCTCGTGGGAGGCCCAGTGTAGTGAAGGGCCACGCGGACCCAGCCTACCTAGACCCTGTGGCTCCCGGGGGGGCTGCGAAGTGTGCGTCGTTCATCATATCCGTTCGTGTTGAGCGGTCTTCAATCTTGCTGCCCCGTGTTAGGACAAGGCCGGGTGCGTCACCTGGTAAGTCGGGCGGCCGGCGCGATCGGCCGAACACCTATTGAAGACTGATCGCTGTGTTGATCAATCAAAAGGAGACGGCGGATCTAAATTCGCAGGCCGAGAGGTTGACACCAACACCAAGATCGGCGGTGTGCCTCCACCGAGGGAAGACGATCCCGATCTCGGTGGTGGTGGTAATATTTTAGCTTCAAGGTAGTCGAAATATTTTCCACCAACACCGAAATCTAGGATCATCTTCCCCCTGTGGAGGCAAACCCCTGAATTGGTGTTGGTGCCCATTTCCAGGCCCCCCATAAATTCCTTCCGCCCATCCCTTTACCGTGGCTAAGCTCTGGGTGGAGAGTGGGAGAGGCATAGAGTACGATGACGATGTCAGTCAACAATGCAGGCCTTCGCGGACCTCTCGCCCTGGGAGCTTCTTGGATGCCTATTGAACCCCTCTTGGAATCCGAGTGCTAACTGGAAGGTCGCTCGATCGCTTGATGGTCGCAAGGTTCACGGGCAGCAACAGGTGGGTCGGAAGCGATGGGGCGGCCTTGGCGTTCATCGGGACCGCAGACAGCTGGAAGGCTCGTTGGAACGTTTCATGTGCACGCTCGAATCCTGTCGAAGGTCCCTTAAAGGATCGCGGTGATCTCTTCGGGTGGCCTCTCTGGGGGGCGTCTCGGAGACAATTCTGAAATATGCCGACGCCTCTTGTGGTCGTTTGGGGGCCGTTCTGGATACATTTTTGGCTTCTTGGGGGTCTCGTAGGTCATCTTGGGGGCTCCTGGGAGGCCTGCCGGCGGCTTTCGGGGTCCTTTTTCGGGGCGGGGGGCTCGGAGTGTCAGCTCGCATTCCCCCTCGTGGGCCCTCTGAGGGCTTTTTTGTTGCCCTCTTTGGCCGTTTGCGTGGCCTCTTGGGCGGTCGTTGCGCCGTCTTTGCGCCGTCTCGTCCTCCTCTTGTGAGCCTCTTGAGGCGGCTTGGGGCAGTCTTTGGGGCCTCTAGGGCAGTCTTGGACGATGCGCAGACCCTAAACCAGCATGCTATCCACGCACGTTGTCCTGACGGACAAGGACGATGTTTGCTTGCTGGGGCCGTCCGAGCTGTCCTCCTGAAGCCCTCTGGGGGAATCTTCCAGGCCTTTTTGGGCATCGCGAAGCGCTCCGGGGCCCGCCTCGGAGCCCCTTGTACCTTCCCTGGTGCCATTTGGGCGTCGATTGGCCCATCTTGAGGCCTTCTGCTTCGCGGGAATCTCATCCGAGAAGCCCGGGCCGCCCCGTGCCGCTGGGGGAGTTCGGGACCACTCGGGGCATTGGGCCGTTTACGTACCACCCAGAAGAGCCAAAGGAACCTGAGGACACTCCATGCAGCGCGTAGTGGCACGGCGGCGGATAATGTTCTGGACCTGTCGCAGCCGCCCGCAGCCGAGTGGTTGTTGGAAACGTTGTCAGCATTCATGGTCAAGACTGGAGCAGGCGGATTCGCTTGGGATCATGACATCTTTACATCACCCGCACGGCCATATCCGCAGTGGAGGGCATGGAATTACATTCTGAATAAGTTGCGGGCTCGCTTCCCTGATATTGTCATGGACCATCGGCAGCAGAATCACAAATATGGCCCGTGGTATCAGATGGCTGGCTCTTATGCTGAACCTCTTGGCAGTGACGAGAATCCCGAGACTTATGGCGTATTTATTCCAACCTTGCATACAGACCACGTGGCCGCTGATCAAGTGAGAAGGATCAACTACGGCTATGCCGCAGATCAGCTAATTCCAGCTTCACGCGTGCCAGGGTTCATGTTCCACCAGATAGAGCGCGCGGCCACTAATGGAACTGTACCCTGTGAAGGCTCAAGTAAAGATTGTTTCAGCCTGAACGCAAGAGATTTTGACTTGATGGGTTACAAATATCCAGCTGCCTGCGGCAAATCCCGCCACCGTGCCAGCCAAGCATTCTCGGTGGCGACTATTCTAGACGCTTCGCGTAGCCCCACTAAAACTGCGGCGGTTAGCTGCACCCCCCTTTCCACTGCAAAGGTGCTCTCCGCGGGTTGCATCCACCCCTGGACACACCAGGTGACTGGAGACGCCCCCCGGCTCTGCTGCGGGCTGGCCGCGGTGTGGGACGTCGCGTCTTGCCGCTTCGGCCCGGTGGGTGTTCCCCACTGTGCCTCAGGGGTTCGCCCGCGGCGGCCGTGGAGGCCATGTCGGAGGGCCCGTCGGGCAGGCAGCGCTGAGGTCTCCCCCCCCTACGGACCGACCCACAGCGTTGTCCGCGGCTGGCATCGGTGGACCTCTCCGCGGCAGGACGGCACTGTGGTGCTTGGGCAGTCGCTGGCTTCCACCGGCACTGGGAGTTGCGTGCCCGAAGGCCTTGCTCTGAGTGTTGCAGTCTTGTACAGTCTGCGTCTCGCGCATCGTCGCGTTCACCTCGGGCCTATTCGACGCAGGCGCCGGGCTCGATGCGATTGGTGCCGCTGGCCCCCCCAACTGAGCGGTGGAGTCTGAGGGCTGCGCGCTGAGTGGTTCAGCCTTCCGCACTCGCTTTGCCTCTTGTTTTCCACCGCCGGCAGCCCGGTCCTGGGTTCGTTTCTCTTTGCTAGCCGGGCTGGCTGCTTGGAGTTTGGCGCCACACCGGCGACTCACTCCGTTGCACTCGCACCCGCGACCGCTTGTTCGCTTTGGTTTACAGTGCGGCGCCTACGTGCGTCTGGTGGTGAGTGTGAGCAGTTTGTTCAGTGCATGTGCAACTGCGCGCTTGTTGTGCAGGTGCGAAACGGACAGCCAACGTGGCGGTTGGGGTCGCCAATTCGCATTGTGCCGCCCACCCCGGACATTGCCCCTCGCCGCCAGACCGTTGTCGCGCGGCCGCAGACAAAAAAATAACCCCACTAAAGTCGGGCCGGCTGGCTTGTGCCTGCTGTAGCTAGTCCCGGACTTTGCTTCTCACCGCCTGACCTTTGTCTCGCGGCCGCGACCGAAAAGTAACCCCACTAACGGCCTCGCTGGCGCGTGTTAATTAGCTCGGCCCGTGGCCCGGACCTTTCGACTCGGCGCTGGCGCTTCTGCCTGCGGCCGCGGGAAAAAAGTAACCCCACTAACCCATCCAGAAACGAATGCCCTGATCAGGGATGAGGAGGAACATGCACGGGAACAACAGGCTGGGCAAGATGTCGTACCCCAAGATGGGGAGGATGGAGGATACATCGGAGGAGGAGGAGGAGGAGGAGGAGGAGGAGGAGGAGGAGGAGGAGGAGGAGGAGGAGGAGGAGGAGGAGGAGGAGGAGGAGGAGGAGGAGGATAGGTATGGTAAGTGGTCATTGGCGCCTTGAGGTGGAGGTATGGGCCACCTCCCCTGCGGTCCCCTTCGTTTGCCGAGAGACCACAGGCTGGTCCTCGGCCCACGCCGTGGCCGTTGACGGCATCATTGAAGGTTGAGTGGTGGGGGCTCCTCCTCTCCCTCCTCCTCCTCTTCTTCTTCCTCCTCACACCTCCGCCTTTTTCCTCCTCTTCCTCCTCTTCCTCCTCCTTCTCCTCCTCCTCCTCCTCCTCCTCACACCTCTCACAGCCCCATCGATGGAAGTTGTGAGGCGTGTGAGGTCTGCTGACGGTGCTCGTCGGCCGAGCTCATCGGCGGTCCCCGCCGAGGGGTATGGGCGAGAGGGGGGGAAGGGGCACACCGCGCGGCCGAGGCCGTCTCGGAACTGACGGCGCCCGAGGATGCGAGCCTGGGCTCCTCCTCCCTCTTCCTGCCTCCTCCTCCTCCTTCCTCCTCCCTCCTCCTCCTCCTCCTCCTCCTTCTCCTCCACTCGCTCCTCCCCTCCCTCCTCCCTCCTCCTCCTCCCTCCTCCCTCCTCCCTCCTCCTTCTTCCTCCTCCCTCCTCCTTCCTCCTCCTCCTCCTCCTCCTCCTCCTGCTCCTCTTCCCTCCTCCTTCCCCTCCTCCCTCCTCCCTCTCCTCCTCCTCCCCCTCCTCCTCCTCCTTCTCCCTCCTCCCTCCCTCCCTCCTCCCTCCTCCTCCTTCTCCCTCCTCCTCCTCCTCCCTCCTCTTCCTCCTCCTCCTCCTCCTCCTCCTCCTCCTCCTCCTCCTCCTCCTCCTCCTCCTCCTGGCAGACGGAAGCCTGGCAGAGATCGAACACAGAGGAGCGGGGGGTCGCCGCTCCCAGCTCCCGCGCCCGTCGGGCCAGCTGGCCGGGCGCACGCCGCCGCTGGCAGGGCCTCGCGTCGGGGAGCGGGGTACCCCTGGAGGGCGCGACCCGGCCTTCGGGCGCGGACAGGCCGAGAAAACGAACGAAGAAGCCGTACCAGGACGGCGCACGGTGTGCGAAGCGTAGATGCGCCTTCACAGTGGCTCGCCTACGAAGCCGGCGCCTCCCAAGTAGTTGTTTGGCTTGCTGCCCGCACTGCCGGCGATTCCCCACGGGCCACGCCGTGGCGCCGCACCCTGCCGATCTTGAGGGGGCGCGCGGCCAGGATCCCCGCAGGGCGGAGGCAGTGGATTTGGGAACAAGCGGGAGTCCAGACCATCATGTGTTCCTTCTGCGTCCGAGCGTCCCTTCTTCCTCTCGGCCGTCCCCCCCTCTTTTAGGGGAGCGAACAATGACATAAACATAACAACTCGGAGGTCCGCGCGGACCTCCGAGTTTTTATGTTTATGTCATTGTTCGATCCGCTATCTTTGCTTTCTGGTCAATTCGCTAGTTCCTGCCTCTATCTAGCTTCTTGTTGGAGCGGAGTTCGCCGCGTCGCCGCTGACGAACGAAATGTTCCTTCTGTCCTCTTCTTCCCTTTGTCTGGGTTTTCATCGATAGTTGCAGGGTCCCGTGATGTAGCCATTCGGGCGCCGATCTTTTTCGTCACTCGATCGGAATCCGGTGTGATTGTACGTGCGCCGTGACCGAACACATCTTGTCCGTTTCATGTATGTCTGTCCCCGACTGTCTCCCGAGTGATCACAATGGCAGCCGGAGCATGGCCACGGGAATCAGTTGCAGACAGTCACAAGACGCGACGGCGAGTGGAAATCTAGGTGGCGGCCGTCAGAGTGGCTCCCGTGATGGGGGCAGGAGGGATTAAAATAATCACCGAGCCAGAGACGTCCAACAGCAGACCTGCCCCGAGAGGAAAGCAAAACGTTGTCTAGAATGGGAACCAGTCAGGGTCTCAGCCGGATGGCAGGCAACCCGATGGTGGAACAGCTGGATTTCATGGGCAAAAATAGGGCGAGTCAGGTGACAGCACTTGGCTGTGGCAGGACTACTGGAATACGGCGGTTGCTGTGTTGAATCGTGGCTACGAAACGCCAGAACGACGTGGGATGATGTGAACAGCGGCCATGCTGCCCCACCACCCTGGCTCGGCCCCGATCGTGTCGAAGGAGAGCATACGTACATACATGTGTATTGTTTCTTTTAAATATACATGGGTATGTATGAGTGTAGCCAGCCTGCGGTCTCGGGCCAGGAGAACACCGACCAGACTGGATCACCGAGTGCCAGGGCCTTCGGGGGCGATCCAGTCGATCTCCATGCAAAGTTCATGTTATTCCAGGACTCATTTCATGACAACGAAGGCGTAGAGACACTTTTCACATACCTAACGGTTTTGATCGGAGAGCGCCTGGACGACAAGGTGGAGGCGCAGAACGCTGCGCTCTTTGATGTGGACATTCGTTCCCAAGATTCCGTGACGTATTTAATAATGAGGAGAGATCAGCAAGTGTCCAAGGCAGCGACGAGAGGCCTGATTCCACCCGACAGCGTGACGGCGAGAATGGACGGAGAATGTGCAAGTTTGTCCACTCAGGATAAGAAGATGTTCGAGACGGGGTTGCACATGAGGGACTCAACTGCGGCGATTATTGAGACTTTCCCCATCTTGGACGTTCACTGCTGCCAAAGTCTCAGATTCAATCGGTTTCCAAGGCATTCGCGGATGTTCCTCTTTCCTCACCGCCTTGGGCAGAGGATGGCGATGACCCAGGTTCAGAGCAGATGGGCGTCTTCGACGTGTCTGTTTCCGAGGAAGAGGCCTTCGCGTTGTTCGCGACCATCGAGCAGCAGGACCTCTCCGAGGAAGAAGTGATGCAGCTGTTCGTGGCACCGGCAGAGCCGAGAAAGAGGATGGCATGGGAGGAATCCAGGCAGCCTAAGACCGCCGAGAAAGTGGCCATGGATTTTTCCGATCGAGGTCGAGCCGCTCAGGACAGAGGAGGACCAGTCGTTTCAACTTGACTGGGGAGGAAGCATTGGCGAGAGGATTTTAAGAATCTGTATCCATCGAAAACAAGTCGTATGAAGGCCGAGGCCTCCCCGGGTGCTTGGAATGAGACATCTTATTTCATGACCTTCGACGTCTCATATAATCGTTCAGTGCGTGGATAGCACTCAGCTTCGACGAGTTGAAAGGGAAGCTCATTGCCTGTCCCCCCTTCGCACCTCTTGGAACAGATTAGCAAGATTAGCGCCGAGGTGAACGTTGACGCCTCTTCTGGAGTGATGCGCGGCGGCCGGGCAGGCGGTCGCGGGTGCGCCCGACCTGAAGCGCGTGGTGGGCGCTTTCAGCTCGCGAGGTTTGCGTGTCCGCGTGTGGCCAGGTCTAGGATGATGAGCGTATTCTGGGGCCAGCGGTGTCGGTGGCAAGGTCCGTCCAGTGGCCGGGGCTTTTGTGCCGGGAATACAGCGGGGTTAGTCGGTCTGGGCCCCGAGAGGGCCCGTCGTGTCGCTTGGCGCACCCGTTGCCACATGTGATGCAAACCTTTCAATTTCCTTTGACGCGCTCCCGCGGGTCCTCGTCGCTTCCGTGGGCCGCGGGGCGGGTTTCGAAGGGGGTGGGGCTTCCCAAGCCGCAGGCAGCTGGATTCAGGCTTCTTGTCGTTCTGCGCGAGGAGGCCCAGGGGCGTCTGTTGGGGGGCGACTCTCGGGATCGGCCCATTTCCTGGACGCGCTGGTCCGTGGTGGGGCGGGGGCTGTTCCGCGATGGGGGATCTGTTCATGGGATGTCCCAAGCTCGGGTGGAGGCGGATGGCTCCCCGTCTCCTGGCGTTCCTGTCGCAGGTTGCTCCGTCGAGGGTCGCGGCCGCCATCTGCCCGCTGAAGATCTCGTGGGAAGATCCCGCCCTGGGGGGCTGCCCCCGTCCCCGGGACAGGTCAACGGTTCCAGCCAGCGGGGCGTGGGCTGCCAGTGCGCGCCGCGTCGCCGTCGCCCTTGGCATCGCAGGTGCGCGCTAGACGTTGTGCGCCAGGACTGATGGCGCGTGAGCGCGCCATTATGAAGGCCGCCGAACTCGAAGCGACATCAAGAAGGAGGAGGCCGCGGCAGGGATCAATATTGATATCATCGAACCCCCAGCGGACTTCCAGCGGCGTCCCGCAGTTGTTCGGAGTCAGGCATCGGCGGTAGCTGCGGTCGGGAATACGGACTCTCGACTGGTGGTCGTTCGAGTCTGGGGACCTGGCCAGGTGGGCGGTCCGGGTTGGAGGTGCAAGGCCCCGCCGGCGGCTGCGAGAGCAAGGGCGACCTCAGCCGCGATCGTTCCCGCGGCCAGAAAGTCCCCGCCGATCAGCGCTCCTCCAGGAGGTTGTCAGAGCCAATGGTCGAGCGACCTCATCGATGACGCGAGGCGCGCGATGCAGCATCATGCCGATGGGGGTCGCCCAGATGCAGCAGTTCATGGGCGCAGAGCGGGCCCGGGTGCTGGAGCTCGAGAACCGCGAGGCTCAGAGCGACGAGGTGCAGAACGCCAACTTGGCTGCGCTGGTGGCAGTGCTGAGGGGCTCGATAGCCAGGGTCTCTCCAGGCGGGGGGGTCGGCGCCCCGCGCCTTCGCAATTCCATGTCCACTAGAGCGAAGATTTCCAGGTGGGTGCTGACGCGCTGCCCAGAGCCCAGTCAAATCATACTTCGCCATGACTCATCATATTGATCGACAGTAAGGTGCCGGGAGCCCCTCAGATGCTGAAGCAGCTTTCCCAGCCCCGCCCGGTCGAGAGTGGATGGCCGAGCGTGTGTCGGTGGCCGATGCTCGTGCCGCCGCGCGGTTGCGTCGAAATACACGTGGGAACAGGTTCGGTGCGCGGGATCTTTTGCTGCGAACCTCCGTCGGCCCTAGTCGGGTTGTGGAGCCCGCGGGTCGTGGAAAGATGTTACTGGCAGATTCGGGCAGGGTGTGTTTCATTGTGGGGCTGGCTATGTTGAAGCGGGGCCAACTCTGAGACGGATGTCCTCTCTGGGGCCTTCGTCGACCCCGGGCGCCTGAGAGTAGCGGCTGACCTGCAACCATGGCGTTGTTCGACGTGCTCTGGGCCGAGCCTTGGACAGCTAGGTCAGTCTCTCCAGGGAGCTAGCGCCTCGGTCTTAACGGTCGAGGTCTGGAACCCGGATGTTGCTCAGCGTGGGGCTGGGCCTTGAGGCCCCCCGGCAGTGCGACGTCGGGATCGTGCTCGCGTGGCTCGGCGGGCTCAACGTAGCCGCCGTGGCCGTTGAGTCACCGAGGTTTTCGGCGCGTGGCCTCCGCGGGCCTAACGTAGCCATCGACGCCATTGAGTCGCCGAGGTTTCCGGGCGCCTGGGCCCCTAGAGCTGTCGGGCGCGTTGCGATCCCGGACATCGCGACGGCGGATGGATGTCCAGTTCCAAGACAGGACCCTTAGGCGGTGAGCTCTCGAGCTCCTCGAGACGGTGGATTAGAAATCGAAGGAAACAGGGGCGTGGCCATGAAGGGAAGGTGCTCCTGGCCAAAGGGCGATTCTTTTTCTGGGCGTCTGTTTTGTTCCGGGGGTCTCTCCGCAGCTTGAGGGGAAGGGCGGTTCTGCTTGCACTCTCGAAGGGCTCGTGGGCGTGGTTCTTTTCCTTCGAGGGGGCCGCCGGGTGCTGCGGTTCTGCATCCCCCCCGTGCGCTGCTCTCTGTATCTCGCGCGCGTCGACGTGGTCGAGGATGGTTCGGGGGGCCCCCGCGTGCTCAGAGGCGGAGGCGCTCTGCCTGATTTCGGTGGCTGCGAAGATGTATGAGCATCGGGTCCTGAAGGGTAGAGCTCAAGCTTGAGCTGGTGAGGCTCTCCTCGGCTCGCAGCTACCGTAACTCACTTTGACTTCTCATTCGCATGGGCCCACCGCGGTCTCGCGCGCGACCTTGGCGCCGAGCTGGGCAGGGATGGCGAAGCGAGTGGGTCAGAGTTCTGGGCCCGCACCCAAAAACATAATACGAAGCAGGATGGTGATGCTTGGAGGGTCGCTGCCGCACCGGCGGAATATTCTCTGGGCACAGCGTCGCCATTTTCTTGCAGCATATGAAACCAGACTTGCACAGCGTGTCGGGGAGCTGGAGACGGACCTCACCGATGCCAGGAGTGATCCAAGAAGCGCAGGATGAGGCGCGCGACGCAAAACAGGCAGTAACTGCGCTGGAACAAACATGGGCGACGCAATGGACGACCTCGAGATGCGCGTGGACAACTTGAAGGACGAGCTGGGCCTTCGCGTCCCAAAGTCTGACTTCAAGAATGATTTGGAGAAGATCCTCGGCACGAAGAGCCAGGGGGCCCTGGGCGGCCAGGAGAAGCCCCCAATGCATCCACAAGACGGCGAACGTGATGGAGAGTGAGACCTACAGGTGACTGTTGGTGGGTTGAAGGAGGAGGAGCAATATAACACCATCAAACACGTATATAATAAAGTGGATGTCAACAACACGAGACACAACGCGTCGAACTTATCTACCTTCATGGACCCGTCGCATGTAGGCGTCATCACCTTCAGGGCCAAGGCGACGGACAATGGATTCCTGAAGAGCGTGCGCGGCCAGAAGGTTACCTGGGACTGGAGAAAAGATGTGGTTCACAGCCAACGACGCATGGCAAAACGGGACATCGACAAGACGTCGTGGCAGCTAAAGCATAACCTGATGAACAAGGGGCATCAACAAAGTCATGTTCGCATCAGCTGGGACACGGGCGTCGCCAATATCAAGAAGGAGGAGGTGGGAAGAGTGGATGGGGAGGGACTGTTACAGACATTCGTAGTCGGAGTTGAGGAAGGGAGTGGTGGGGGAATGGAGGGAATGGATGTGGAAGCGCGAAGAGTGACGGCCTCAGCGCCGAGACCGCGCACGAATTCCACTGGAAGGATTAATTCAATCGGTTTCACGTTTGAGCGCGCGAGTTTTGGATGGATTTTGGGAATATGGTATTCCGATCGCTTCCCATGCGTCCCCGTGTGTTCCCACAGCTGCCAAAACAGTTTTGTTTCGCCGACTCCTGCGCTGGAAGGGGCATGCACATTGATAGAACATGTAGCCGCGTTCGTGCCATTGCCGACCCCTGAGCCAAAGCACCACGAGGCTCCAGAAGATGCGGGGGCCAATCGCCCGCTGTTGGAGGAGGGGGCCGGGGAAAATACATATTTGTAGATGGAGATTCCCCCCGGGGATTTTCAACCTCGCCGAGGAGCGGTCGATCAGACGAGCGTCGATCAGACCAACGTCGCCGGGGATCATACGAGCGTCGATCAGACCAACATCGCCGCAGACTTCGACCTCGCGTTGTTCCACAACAGCGTTCGGGGGATGACAGATAACGACAAAGTATGCGAGCTTTTGAGAGAGTTTGGAAGCACGAGGTGGGATGTCATTGCCATCGACGAAACCATGAGGAGAGGGAAAGGCAAATTGTAATATTTACTGTTTTTCGACGGGGTGGCGGGGGTGTTGACGTGGTTTCGAGCTGGTTGCTGGTTCGGTGGGGACGGGGGTGTTTGTTAATGGGGGACAATGATAACTCATGCCCGACGGGGAAGAAAGGGGGTGGAAGAGGAAACGTTCAAATTCACTCACGCGCCAAAGGGCCGGTGGGATTCGAGGGGCACGGGAGGCCGCCACGCGTGACACCTCGTGTCCCCAGGCTGGGATAGCCGTGATGAGGAAAATGAGGATGATGACGATGATGAGGACGAGAAGGATGACGAGGAGGAGAAGGAGGGAGGAGGAACAGGAGGAGGAACAGGAGGAGGAGGAGAAAGAGGATAACGAATGCCGTCGTATCTGGCACATTTCGTGGAGCTCATGTGGGCCGTGTTGGAGCTGTCTTGGGCTTGTGTGGGACAGTCTTGTGGGCCCCTTGGGGCCGTCGTCTTGAGGCCCTCTTGGGCCGTCTTGGGGGTCTGTGTGACGCCGTCTTGGGGTCTGTTTGAAGCCGTCTTGGGGTCTGGTGTGAGGCCCTCGTGGGGGGTGTCTTGGGTCCTGTGTGAGGCCGTCTTGGAGTTGTCTTGGGCCGTCGAGGGTCTTCTAGGGCCGTTTTGGGTCTCTCCGGATTCCTTCTCAAGGCCTTCTTGGAGTCTTCTTTGGCCATGGTTGGGTTCTCCTTGGCCGTCTTGGGGTTTTCTTGGGGGCCTCTTGGGTCGCTTTGGGGCCACCTTGGAGCGTCTCGGCTTGACGGAAGCCTTACAAGGTGAGCATACGGACATCTTCCAATAGCCATGATACAATGCATGATTTCTGCGTCTTCGGGCCCTGCTGGGGGTCCTCATCTGGCCTTCTTGGGCGCACTTTGAGCCATCTTGGTCCGAGGCGGGAATTTATACATGACCGCCGCCTGGAGGATCCGCCTGGAGGATCAATCTTCGGGGACCTCGGCAGGCGGTGGATATGGACATATTCGGGGCCCTGGTGGTCATAATATATCCATATCCACCGCCTGCCGGGGCACCAGGACGTCGGTTCCTAGGCGGTGGATATGGATAAATCTCCGTCTCGCACTTGGGCCGTCTTTGAGGCCATCCTTGGGCCGCCTTGTGGCAGTTTTGGGCCGTCCTGGAGCGTCTTGGGCCGTCCTTTGGCGGGCTTGATGGCCTGCCTGGTCCGTTTTTGGGAGCCTGGGGGCGCGGGCCCACTTTTTTGTTGCGCGCATCGTAGCTTCGAAAGCGGGAAGCAGCTTTTGTGTACGATCGGGGAAACGTAAGTCTCGAGTAAGCTGGAACTCGGGTCTGTCCATTTTTGATACGAGCGCGTCCTGGATTTCGTGGGAGGTCTGCAGCGGGAGCCCGCGCCGAATTTCATATTGGGTTTCGCCATTCTTAGGATGGCCCCCGTCAGGCCAACGCGAGTCCCCCGTACCCGAGTCCGACGCTTCCCTAATGCGAGGCATCGTTGCCTCGGGAGATGGGGGCGACGCACCCGTCCGCGGGTAGAGGGGGGAGGGGGCCCTTTCGAAAACGACGGGAAACCTGCCCGACAAACCTCGGCGTGCTTCTGCGCCTCGACGTGCCAGGGGGTACGGTGGCAGATTCGGTGCTGAGCAACGTGGCCACTGCAGGACTTAATCACGTGTTGACAGAGATCCCGGCACGCGACTTGCAGGAGTACCAGCTGTTCCCCGAGGAGGATCTCGACTTCATTCGCGGTTGGATTGCGTGGTCTGATAGCCACATGGATGCATTGCGAAACGCTGCTCCGATTTCGTCTTTGCCTCGGCCTGGTATCGGATTTGTTGATGGATGGCATGCGATGAGAGCGGACGGTACTGGCTTCCTGTTCTTGTTCAATCCGAACTTTCTGCGACTTACTGCCAACATTTCGATCGATGAGGCGATAGGTATTTCCAATGCCTCATCTCAAGCGTCGTGGACAGCTCTGGAGCTCTACCCCAATAGCAGGCGACACAGCAGGGGTCCTTGGAAGCACTCCGATGTCGTTGCGCTTGAGGTGGAGGGTAGCGGCGTATTGGTTCTTGAGTTGCAGAAAGCAAGTGCAGGAAGGGTACCACAGACTGTAGGTGTTGGGAGAAAGGGAGAGCTGGTTCGGGTTGATTCTCGAGTGCCTGAGCTCGCAGCACTGAAGTGTGGACAGGGGCAGCCCAGACAAGTTGAGGTGAGATTTGCTGGGGAGCCTGTGTACCATGCCATGCCGATCTCAGCTGATGCAGTGGCTCCCAAGACTTTCACAGGAATATGGTTCAACAGAACTTTCACGATTCCTGTTGCCCTCAAGCAGCAGCTCCAGGCGCGTGCTCTCCAGTACCCTATCAGTTGGACCCAGCATGACTTATCAGCCACGTGGCTGGCTCCCAGCCGGCTCCTCATGACAGTTTTCTTAGGCAAACCGCGAATCAAGTCGCCTGTTCGCATGTGGGTCAATGCAACTGAGGTTACCGTCGGCAAGGCATCCAACTCAAAGGACGCTCCTGCCAGTGCGTCGCAGAATACATTCCTGGGCTACTTTTATGATGCAAGCGACTTGGACACCGGAGTTACACACACAGTTTCTGTGCTGCTGCCCGATTCCCAAGACATTGGCTTTCAGGGGCTTTTCTGGGAGAACATTGAGACAGAGTACACCGCAGACATTGCTTCTTGCCAAGAGGTGGAACCGTTGGTATCAGATCAGTTATTCCTTATATGATTTTTGATGCTATTGTTCTCTCTGGCCGATGTTCAAAAAACCAGGCGGTGTATTTATCAAGTGTTCATTATTGCGATCGTCGATGAGTAGCCTTGAGTGTAGTTTGTGTCTGACAACGTCACGGTCTTTCGAGTGTATCCTCGGGAGCTTCGGTGACCATTTCGAGTCGTCTTGTGGGCATGCCTCTTAAATGCATGCTCGAGGCCATCTTGAGCTATCTTAGGCTACTCGTCGCAATCGTGGAGGCCATATTGAGCTATGTGAGGACATGTTGGAGCCATCTTGCGCTAAACGCTAAACATGACCCTTTTTGACACCTTGCCCCATTCTCCAGTCCAGACCCACGGGAGGGACATACCCTGCTGGGGAAGGTCAGCTCCTCCAACCGCTGGCGTGTCATCCCCCGGTCTTGGCTTCGGTCGGTAAGGAAAGACAAGGCGATACGGTCTCCAAGACAGCCACCAAGATGGCCCGCGATGATGGTCCGAGGTGGGCGTCCAAGAGGTTTCCAGACCGCAGCAAGGCGCCCGAGGTGGCACGGAGCCTCCTCAGGACGGCATTGAGAGGCGAACACCTTTCGAATATCCGTTGTTAGGCTTGTCAGTGATTTTTGACTAAACACTTTGCAGCTTCCGATAGGCTTCCGATCGCCTCTTACGTTTTGAAGGATGGCCTCCAGGATCGCCCAAGAGAGGGCCCAGAAAAGCTCAGCGAGAGCCCAGGTCGGGCTCAGACGGCATTGAAAAGGCCCCAGGATAGTTCCAAATCGCCAGAAAGGTGAGCTGGAGCAGTTGTACCTAACGTCATTGAGAATAAAAGAACCCCTAACCTCAATAACATGATGAAGATGTAGCCTCACTGAGGTCCCCGTCTTCGCATTAGGGATGATACTTCTGGGCGGCTTGCTTCGATAGCACCTGCAGAAAAGACCTCCTATCCCTAATGTTCCTGGCCCTCCTAACTTAGGTCCCCTCCCAAAGGGTTCGGGATCTTTTTTTGGTCAATCATGACGCCACGCTGTTCGCCAGACGGACCCATGAGGGCTCCGCACTGCCGCAGCTGGCGTTTTTCTGGGTGACGGCAATTCCTGTCAGTGGAACGGGGCGGGGGGGGGGGGCGTCCTCAGTACACATCCCTGAACCAGGTCCCACTAAACCCAGTTCTGCCAACGCCCGAAGTTGGGGTGTTGCTAGAAGCACCCTTGGCCCAAGATACCCCCAGGATTCTCGGGGTGGCCCAGACTGCCTCCAGGGCACCCCTCACGAGGCCCAGAGGGCCCCAGGGGCTCCAAAATGGAGCGAAAAGCTGGGGGCACCTTGGCCCAGGGGCACTTCTAGCAACACCCGAGAAGCTAGGTGACCAAGGACACATCGAATGAGAAGAAGAAGCAACGGCATGAGCATGAGCATACACTTGCGGCGCCCCGCGCGGATCTCTCTTGGGTCGGCGTCGGGCCCCCCCGGGCAGCGCATCCGGCGCCCGCCCCTGGCGTCCGCGCTCCGGAGCCGGCTCAGATCCCCAAAAAATCCGCGCGGAGCGCCAGAAGTTTTTTCCGAACTTCTTATTCATCAACCAGGGGGTGACAAACGTGAAAACGCGGCGCGGCCAAACCCCCCCCGGCACCACCCCCGCGCCCCAGCGGGCAAGGGAACGAACCCCAGACCTTCCTTGGCACCCCCGCGGACGCGCCGCGGCCAATCTTCCTGGGCACTCCAAGGGGGGGCGATTAGTAAGCGATCCAGAGTACGTTTGTGCCGTTGATTCTTCTTCCAAAAAATGGGTTGGAGTCATGAGGTTCCAACCTGCTTTAGCCTTGATCAGCAGAAAGAATTTCGAGCACCAAGAAAATGCGGAAACTCGAGGGTTTTCACGCGTCGGGCCCTGGGAGTCTCGTCCGACACTGTTTCGATATCGTTTCGACATTCTTTCGACACTTTTCCGAGTGCTCGAAATTATTTTTGGGATGCGGTCATTAAGTACGGTGGGAGCAACATAAGGTTGGAGGAGAGCTCGCTCTAAACCTGCGCCCACTGGACTTGTGGGATTGAATGGGCGCCGAAGCCTGCCCAAACGCTCCCAGGTGCAGGTGCGGGCAATAGACTACTGTTGCTGACAGCCGCACCTGGCTTAGACGCGTGCACGCCAGGCGAAAATAACATAAGATTCGAACAGCACGCGAGCGTGACCTGCGTTGAATACTCGCCCGTGGCAAGAGCTGCGGTGACGCGACCAGCACATGGGAACGCGCAGGAATCGAGAAGGCCTCGCACAAGAAGACTGGCTCGTGTGCCAGCGAGGTGCCAGGTCCTCGGCGGCAGACGCAGCACGAAGACAACGTCTGCTGCTGTGACCGAACATGGGTGCCCGAGTCCGAGGCGGGTTTTTACCCAGAGCCACCGCCTGGGAATCGAGCTTCGGGGACCTCGGAGGAGGAGGAGGAGGAGGAGGGGGGGGGAGGAGGAGGAGGAGGAGGAGAAGCGCCGGGGACCTCGGCAGGCGATGGATATGGATACGCTCAGGCCCTGGGGCCTGCAGACGAGTCAATGCTCCCCGCCTGCCGGGTCGCGGAAGGTCGACCCCCCCAACGGTGGCCGGAGGAGGAGGACCCCCTCCCCCTCCTACTCCAAATCCCTTATTAATCGACCCCCCCCTAAAAAACCAGACCCCCCTCCAAATGCGACCTAATATTCCGGACCCCCTCTTCGATGGGGCGCCTTAGTAAACCAGACCCCCTGAGCTCCAATCCAAAGAAAGCGACCTAATAAACCGGACCCCCTTAATGACCAAAAAGGCGCCTTAAAAAACCGGACCCGGGGGACGATTAATAAGGGATTTGGAATACTTGTGGTGGTGGTGGCGGTGGAAAACGAGCCCACCGCGAGGGGTGGCGTCCGCCAAGCACCGGAGCACCGTTTCGGCCGCGCGCCCGCGGATGAGCCCAGCGGCCCGAAGAGTCGCGCGCCCGCCGCGGGGTGCGCGGGCGTCGCCCCCGAGCCCGGGCCGCCCAGGACCTCGCGAGGACCCCGGCGGGGGGAGGGCGGTGCCGTGGAGGAGGTGGGAAGGGGCTTTCGGCGCAGAGAAGGAAGAGGTGCCCATACCTCTACCCCCTCGCCCGTTTTTCCCTTTTCGGGGCCTCCTGGGAGACCCTCGTCGCCACCACTGGATTCGCTCCGAAATTCTGGTCAGAACGCAGCCCGGGAGAGGACCAGGGGGTAGCGGTATGGGTACCTTTGGTTTCCCCATGGGCCTCCCGGGTGGGGTTCGAGTAGATGGGGTCGGCGGATCGCGCCGCATCGCCGATGCATCGGGGATGCAATTCGATGTGCAGCCCGACTTTCTCTGCGGCGGCGTCGCCGACGCATCGCCGATGCATCGTCGATGCATCGTCGGTATATCGGCGGTGCATCGGCGATGCGGTGCGATCCACCGACCCCGTCTACTCGGACCCCATCTGGGAGGCTTCTGGAGGCGTGATGCTCAGAGGAGGACAAAGGTACTGATACCGCCACCGTTCCTTCGTTTTCTCCTGTTTGGGCCTCCTGGGAGGCCCTCGTCACCAGGGCTGGATTCGCTGCGAAGTTACCCTGGAGGAGGTCTGGGGAGTAGGGGTTTACAGCGTCTTTTGGCTTCCCCAACTGGGGGCTGTGCGAGGAGGGCTGTGGAAAAGGAGGAGGCTATCGAAGGGAGGATGCATCATGAGGGGGCTGCGGAAGTCGTGGTGAGGGGGATGGGGAAGGATGATAGGGGGATGGGGGAGTTGAGGAGGAGGGGAGCAGGAGGAGGTGGAGGAGGTGGAGGAGGAGGAGGAGGAGGACACAGGAGCCCGCTCGGAGCCCTCTTGAAGCCTCTCAGAGCCCTCTTGAAGCCCTCTCAGGGCTTCAAGAGGGCCCCAAGAGGGCCCCATGAAGGCTCCAAGAGGGCCTAGGAGATGCGATCTCAAACCGCCCCGTTTGATATAGCACCAGCCAGTTTGGACTGGCTCAGGTTTCAGGTGTGAAAAATGCCTTGCGGGCGC